AAGTTCTATTTACATAACCACCCATTCAATCCAATTGAATTATATGTAGGATTTGACCAGGCTGAGCCTGAGTAAGGGGTCAAACGTGTCATTAGTCTCGAGCCCCTTCATGGCCACAAGAGATCAAAGTCCAGCCATCTTGAATTCTGTAGATAAGTTGATTCTTATCTGCCACCAATTTGCTTTGATTGTTAATAGTTAAGATACTTTTTTTTATTCATAAACATTTTGAATACAGTGTGTTGTCAGGGTATATCATTTACAAAAAGAAAAACAAAGAGAGAACAAAAAGAAACATTAACACATATAATGGTAACAACAGTAATAAAGTAACAGAATAGTTTTGGCTAAATTTCTCTTTATATTAGCTTATTTATAATTCTGTTAATTATATTGGCATATTTATAATTATAAACCATCTTTATATTTAATTCATACATAGCAACAATCTTTCGTCATCTAATTTCTACCTCTGTTTCTAACCACTCATAAAATCTATTCCATATCAAGTAATATTCTGTGTCTTCTTTGTCTTAGAAGTTCAGATTCTTGCAGACAACTTTAGCATACACTAAACCTATATTCATTTGAACTCCCTGGACTCCTGATTTCCTCCTGAGCTTGACATTGTATGTGGCCAAGAAGTTTTGCTAGGAGCCCATCATTCTATGATGTCCATGCTTTCATGGCATGTTGAGAATCATCCGAATTATTGTGGTAACAGCAAAGAAATAACAGCAAACATACTGAGATCACTTTTTTAACAAGCTATATTTAATTAGTGTTATTTGGTTTCATTTTGCTCATTATCATTTGTTGTCATGTTAGCATGTTGTCATATGTTCTTAATGCTTGATAATAGCTAAGTAAACCTATATATGGGATCATTACGCAGGGATCAACCTGACACTTCTTCTATTGTAGCATGTGAGTATGAAATGTAGTCTAAAAGTTATTCTTTTGTCAGATTGAAGTTATTTATTGTTAGACAAATATTTGGAAAAGCTTAATAATTTGTATGATAAAGATTTGTGTTTACTTTTAGCCATGCACACCTAGAACTTCTTTTATGTAAATATTTCTGTGATTAATACAGTTTAGATTCAAAGAACTCAACATTAGATCAGCTTTAATATTTCAGTTGCCTTGGTATATGGATCTAAAACTTAAGACTGCATCAAACTTAATACAAAGGTTGGGGAGGGTATCCTTAAGATATGGGAAGATTCCCCCCTCCCCTTTCTTTATTTTTCTTCTTTATTTAAGGGCAAGAAGTAAGGTCACTAAAAGAATCAAACCCTGATGTGGGTAAATGAAACATGAGGCCTGCTGACTTTCTAAGAACACTTTAAATACTGTTCTCCAAGGTTTCATTTTTGTACTGTAGACAATTGTAATATTTTTGTGAAGGTGGAATGCTGTTAAAAAAGGGTCAGGCTTTTTTTTTTTCCAACCAAAGAAGGATAAGAGTTATGAAATTGGATCTTATTTATAAAAGGTGGGAAATTTTATACATTATTTCCACCACTGTAAAAATAGTAATGTATACCTTACGCCACAATTTTCACTCTGTTTTTATGCCATCTACTTCTACAGCTGATGAAGCAGAACATTAGAAAGGTAAAACATGAATTATAAGTGCAAAATTTGGAAGGATGCCTTTTTATTTTTGGTATTTGTTCAAAGCCAACAGTGGAAGTAGATCTAGGAGCTCTTCTCGTGTATCATTTCATGCAGGAATTGTGTGATTTGACTCCTAAAGGGAGTTCTCATTTAGCAACTGCCAGTTTAAGGGCCGTTCACAGTCATTGCAATGATGAAAAAAGTAACTTTATGATCAGTTCTTGCATTTATGATCTTTGCAGGCCTGAAGTAAAATCCTAAGCACAGCCAGAATTAATAGTGATCGCTTTGCTTATTGATCAAACGCCAGTCTCAATTATAGTTGCTAAAGGATTAATTGTTTCCTGACTGGTCTCTGGTTTGATCGCTTATCCTTAAATGGTTTTGATTTTATCTATTTCTCTCCCCCCCCCATTGTATTCTATGGATATTATTGAAACTGCTTTGTGATTAGGACAGCATGCTGATAGGCAGGATATACATATTTAAAATACATTAAGAAAGACAGAAATGTTGCAAATAAGAATGAAATGTTTTGTGCAGCATCTTTTAATGCTTCTTTAGTCCTCTCTGTAAGCAAATTCAGTCTGTCGTGAAAATACCTGCTGAAAGCTAACAGATACAAAACGCATTGATACATTACATACGAAACAGCAGGATTCGCCCATTCTTGTATTCCATTCCCTGCTCCTGTCTTCTTTCCAGTTGTATCTGAGATTTCACACTCATTGCTTATTGCCTTTGAAACCTTGAGGGCAAGAACCAAGCTTAATTTTTAATGGAGATTCTTTCAAGTAGTCAGTGCCCGGCATGAAATTCTGCTTCCATGGAGTTAAGACCTAAGCACAATTCCACATATAACTGTGAAATCATTTAAAAACAAGCTTTCCAAGGGGCACAAGTTAAAGAAGACAGCTGCTTTGTACTGCAGTGCCATTGCTGTATCAGCAAATACATTCCCGAGAGAGGCATTCGTGATGGGCCCACTGTATGAAAGATTTCATTGTTTGGCAGCGCTGTTGCTTGCTATTTAAACTCGGGATTCTAATTTTGAGGAAACCCCCCCCCCCCAAGATTGTACATTTGGTATTTGGAAACTATTTAATTTTTTTCTGTTAAATAGATGTACCATTAATAAATTAAATCCTTTTCATTTTTATAGACTGCCACAATCAGATTTTTAGAAAAAAAAAACCTAGGAAGGGATCTTTTATTGTGAGTAAGAATGTTATTATTTCAGCTTTATCATAGGAGGTGTACCTCTCAGTCCAAAGTTTTAACGATAATTGTTTCCATTAAAAAATCCCTGGTAAACTTACATATATATAATCTGCTGAGTATTTAGAGAATTAAAAATGGAATCATTTTTCTTCCCAATGAACAAGAGGGTCCTCACTGAAAGGACATATTTACTATTTGGCAGTTTTGGCACGTTGTTTTGACTACAGGTAGTCCCCAACTTACAATAACAATAAGAAAGAAAGAAAGAAAGAAAGAAAAGAAGGAAGGAAGGAAGGAAGGAAGGAAGGAAGGAAGGAAGGAAGAAAGAAAGAAAGAAAGAAAGAAAGAAAGAAAGAAAGAAAGAAAGAAAGAAAGAAAGAAAATTAGATTCAAAAAAGCCAGTTTGGTGTTCTCCCAAAAAAGTTTCTTGGAGAAACACCAACATATATCATGTTGTGACACTAGAAGATGGGTGTGAATAATCTATTCCTTTTACCCTGGGTACCAAGTCTTTGTAGCTCCAAACCACAGGATGATGTCATGTGTTTTGAGATTTGCAAAACCATATGTTGGGTTGATAATACCACAAAGAAGTAATAATAAGAATATTTGTTTTTTGGAATAATAGCACTCCGCCATGACTTAGAAGACTGTGTTGTACATTAAGTTAGGGCATGTAATGTTTTTTGTGCAGCTGTCTTGCAAAAGCAGTCTAACTGGAGAATACCCAAGATTCTTAGAAAAGATTTTTCTAAACTGACATCTTTTAAATCGTAAAACATGAATTTTTACTTTTGAGCATTTTGATCCTTGTTAAATTTTGTGTGTGTGTTTATAAAATATTTTGATGCATTTTGCAGCAGTTCTACAGTGTTAAACACAACTTTGGATGAAAAAAAAATCAATTTTATGCTTATAATATTGACATTCTAAATTGAAATTAATATTGATAGAACATTTTTCTCTATTTTCAATAATCTAAATGATCTAAATAATAAATAAGTAAAATAATAGAATGTTAATAATCTCCAATTAATATTTATAAACATCACTTTATTGAAGTGATGTATCAAGGTTTATAACTACATAATAACAAGAAATGGAAAAAAGAAAAGGTTTCCATAACCTGATGTCTTTGATAACTGAAAATGAAACATGCAGAATTCTGCAATGCAGAATTATCCCAGATGGAATAAAGCTATCATGGACTATACAGATAATTTTGTTTTACTGTGATAGATTTGAAATGATACTGTACTTGTCTACTCTGTACTTAGCATGAATCCTGATTACCATTAAGTGATTACCATCATATTTAGCTATTAACATATTAACATTAGCCTTCCTTCCTTCCTTCCTTCCTTCCTTCCTTCCTTCCTTCCTTCCATCCATCCATCCATCCATCGTTCTGCATGTTGTATTGATGCATTTATCAAATGTCTGCATTGGTTTCAAATGTAGAATGTAAATACTACTTAATCAATGCATATTAAAATCTTCCATTTTTATTTACTAAGTGGTAAATAAATCATCATTGGTAAAGTGATAATCAAGTCTCAGTCACTAAAAAAGTTGTAATTGATGAATTTTGCTATAAATCTTTGCTCTGTATTTCCTGTGAAACTTCTTTCTTTGCTCCTGTAAGGATAATGTTTCAATAGTAGTCCAGTGTTAATTTTTTTTTAATTTAATTTATATGCCGCCCTTCTCCGGAGACTCAGGGCGGCTTACAATGCGTTAAGCAATAGCCTTCATACTTTTGTATATTTATACAAAGTCAGGTTATTGCCCCCTCAATCTGGGTCCTCATTTTACCTACCTTTGAAAGGATGAAAGGCTGAGTCAATCTTGAGCCTGGTGAGATTTGAACTTGCAGTAATTGCAAGCAGCAGATGTTAATTACAGTGCTTTAGTCCACTGTACTGCAGGCTCTTTCGTAGTACAGTGGACTACTAGTAAACTGTACGTAGTACAGTTTACAATTTGTAAACAACATCTTGAAAGTATAGCTTTTGCTCTGTTTGGTTGTGATATTAATTCATCCAAAAGTTGTCTCATGTTCACTAACACTTATCTTGGCCACATTGATTAATTCTGCATCTTTGTATGATCATTTCTCTCTTTTGTATTCCCCCCCCCAATCCCTTTCTTGATAGAGCGATCACCACACAGGCCTATCCTGCAAGCTGGTCTACCAGCCAATACCTCTGCAGTTGTTGGGAGCGATGCTGAGTTTGTCTGCAAAGTCTACAGTGATGCCCAGCCTCATATCCAATGGATAAAACACGTAGAAAAGAATGGAAGTAAATATGGACCAGATGGATTACCACATTTGGAAGTTTTAAAGGTAAGTTTATTATTATTATTATTATTGTACATTTTTGAGACAATAAGTAATTATTTTACAAACGTCATTGTAAAATGGAACCAAGGAATCAAATTCATTTGAATGAACTAGAACTTTTTCAGTTTGCCTGTCGAAGATGAGCTGGTGCTCACGGGAGTTACCGTTTGATGTTATCTGGTGACTTAACAATACTGTCCACTCTTGACAGAAACAAAAGCAAACATTTGTTTGGCAATTTACCCTTTAGATGACACTATTTTTCAACCTCAGCAACTTTAAGATTTATGGACAGGCATACTGGCTAGGGAATTCTGGGAGCTGAAGTCCACACAACTCAAAGTTGTCAAGATTAAGAAACACTGCCCTAGAAATCCTTTTATTTACTAGCAAAATGATTTATTTTTCAGATCTCATTAAGAGAATTGCCATATCCTTTTATTAGTATTACTTATGATGATGATTATTTTTTGCAAATAATATGCAAAATAAATACAGAAAACTATACTCTGCCTTTAATATTCAAGCGTTAGGGGAACAGTAAGTGGCCTTCTGAAATGGTCATATTTGCTGCCAAAGAATGTTGGCAGTGCTTGGTTTTACCGAATGTCAGAGATGCTGAAATGTCAATTTTTAACCACCCTGTTGTGAAACTTCTACTGGGCAATGCATTTTCAAGTTGGCAGTCACTGATTTCCTTACAAAATATTGTTCTGCTATGAAATAATAAGAGCCCGGAATCTAAGGAGTTGGCATCACTCAACAGTTGGTCTACTCAGGAGTTTTTCCATTCTATTCTCTTTTTTAAAAAAATAAAATAAAATAAGTATAATATTTATCTACTCATATGCTAATTGAAGACATCTTCAGTATTTTGGTGGCGGGACCATGGTGGTGTCTACATTTGGGGTAGCAGTTACATTGTTCTCCTGTGTTATTGGTCTGTTCTAGCATTCGGGGATAAATAGTTCCAATGCTGAAGTGCTGAAACTGTACAATGTGACAGAGGAGGATGCTGGAGAATATATTTGTAAGGTCTCCAATTATATAGGGGAGGCCAACCAGTCTGCCTGGCTTATGGTTCAGCCAGATAAAGGTAAAAAATGTCTGTTAAAGAAAGCTGGATGTAGAAGCTGGAAAAAGTGGTGCTTTGGGATTCTGCAGGCAGCTTCTAGGATAACTCTTATGACCTTGGTGCATTTATAATCCTGTCTTGAAGATGCAACTGGTTTTACTCCAGTAGCCATGGAAAAATTCCCACAAACAGTATACATGTCTTTTTAATTATCTGCTTTAATTATCTGAACTCTTTCGTATTTTTCTTTGAAGCATTCGAATATATTTGTCCATATATATTTTTCTCAGCATACTCTGAAGGACTCTAACTTCTGACTTTCCCCTAGATTCATTCTTTGACTGTGTGTCTACCATACCCCTATATTTACAAAGACCATATGTCCTTTATTTTAAAGGGACAGATCTTTGTTTCAGGAAGCTTAATTATTTATTTTCTTGGTTTTGCTCTTGAATTTTTCTTTGTAAAGCAACATTATAAACACAAACCTTTTTTATCCTCATGAATCTCTTTCATATTTTCCATTTTTTCAGGTTTGTCCTATCTCTTTTCCAAGATTATGTGGTGACTATACCTATACTAGACTTTTTCTCCATGGTATCAGACCAAATCTGAATTCCAAATCTGAATTCCTGTAGATTCAGTTCAGCATAAACTATTTTCCTGGAAATCTAGTGCTGACTATATTCTTTTTATCACATTATTTAACTACTTGAGCTGTACAAAGCTATATACGATCATGTGGCTCTTGTTAATAGAGTGACAGACTTGGTAGCCATGTAAAATCATCCTGCTCTGAGGGTCAATGGACATGAATCCTCTATTGTTAATTCCATTGTTCGTGTGCACAATAGAATAGTAAAGCTACCATGTTGATTGTTTTAGAACATTGTTTAATTTGAGATTCTTTATTTTGCCCTTTGAACAATCCTATTGTTTACCTTGAAATGTTGAACCAATAGAGTAGATTTAGTATGAAAAATGGATTGTATCTCACTGTACTTGGTGTCCATACCAATAAGATCATTTTAGTGAACACTGATTTGTACATGTTTTCTATACCATGTTTTCCTGAAAATAAGACCCTGTCTTATATTTTTTTGAACCCTGAAATAAGCGCTTGGCCTTATTGCCATGCACTCAAAAGCCCGATTGGGCTTATTATCAGGGGATGTCTTATTTTGGGGAAAACAGGGTAATAGTGTCAATTCGCAAAGCTTTCCTGACCTGCTCCCAACAGGAACAGTGGACATAGTGTAGGCACACCAACAACAATGACGACCCAGATTGTGGGGGCAATAAGCTGACTTTGTATAAATATACAAAAAGTATAAGGCTATTGCTTAACACATTGTAAGCCGCCCTGAGTCTCCGGAGAAGGGTGGCATATACATCAAATTTAAAAAAAAATCTTGGCTTCTTATCTCTATTAGACACAACGTTGTTCTGTTCTTTTCTACTAGAACAACATTTAATGATTTTGCCTGAGAGGTTTTTTTTAAAAAATAACTGTTTGGCCTCTATCAAAAGTATAATGAACATACTTCCTTTTGATAGTATTATCTCTTAGTTTTAAACTCTTCTGTCTATGCCTCTGATACTCCTCTTTAATTTGAAGGAAAATCTTTTTTTTAAAAAGATTTTCTTTTGTGCATTTTATGTTTCTGTGCCATTTTAAAAAACTCAAAACAGTTTGTGGTCGAATTTTTCCATGTTTATTTGATTGCATGCATACTTAGGTGGTGAGTCTAGGTTTGGTGAAGGGTATCCATGATTTATTCCTCTCTAAGGTGCGCTGGGATCTGTTGGTAATTGCCTTCTGGTTGAGGATTTGTGGATGGGATCTCCCCACGGCGGTGAAATTTTGCTTCTTCGGAAGTGCCAAGTTCCCGTGGTCCCATTTCCCATCCACAACAATTTCCTAAAATGTCTAGCTTTTCTCTTGCCTCCATTTTTTTCCTAGGCTGCCGGTGTTAATACCACGGACAAAGAAATTGAGGTTCTCTATATACGGAATGTAACTTTTGAGGATGCTGGGGAATATACATGCTTGGCGGGTAATTCTATTGGGATATCCTTTCATTCTGCATGGTTGACCGTCCTGCCAGGTATATACTGCTATCTTCTCATGGTTTTCTTTCTTTTCCTGCTTCATTGTTGATTGCTATTAAATAACACGGCTTCTGTCTCAACAAGGACTTTTCAATTCCTTTCCCCCAAAAAATTCAATGACTATTCAAAATGATGGACTGGGGTGGTTTTGGAATTCATTGGAATAATTCTAACTATTTTACCCCACTTCCCATTAAAAGATAATGGAAGAATACTTTAAAGACAATCATAAACTTTTCCCGTTTATGTTTCTCTGGGAAGTTTAGAATTCAAAAGCAAGTCGGAGGGGAAATTTGAAGGAGCCCTTTTGAAAAGCTGTTTTAATGCCAACGAATTGGGATATATATTCATGAGAATTTGATGTACAGAAGAGGGAATACAGAAGCGGTGTTTCTATAACTTTACAATCGATTTGGTGTACTCTTTAAATGCTGCATGCTCCAAGCAAACGGGCTACTACCAATAGTCCTCAACTTAAGACCATAATTGAGCCCAAAAATTATGTTGTTAAGTGAAAAATTTGTTAAGTGAATTTGTTCCATTTTATGACTTTTCTTGCCATGTGTGTTAAGTGAATAACTGCAGTTGTTAAATTAGAACATGGTGGTTAAGTTAATCTAGGTTCTCCATTGACTTTGCTTGTCAGAAGGTCATAAAATGACTCCTGAACACTGCAACCATCATAAATGTGAGTCAGTTGTCAAACATCTGAACATAAATGACATGACCATTGGGATGCTGCAATGGTCATAAGTGTGAAAAATGGTCATAAGTCACTCTTTTCAGTACCATTGTAACTTTGAATGGTCACTAAATGAACTGTTGTAAGTTGAGGACTATCTGTAATTTGCTTGTTTGCGAAATGTGTCTTGTGTTGCTTGCAATGATGTTGCTTCTGTTTTGATCAGAAGTGCACAGTAATTTGCTTTTCTAGCTGAAAATGTCAATTAGAAAATAATGGACATCTAGATGAATAAAAACTGCTTGCTTTATAACCCTTTAACCTATTTCCTTACATTGTTGTTATTACAGAACTGTACATTAAGTTGTTGAAAGTTGTAGTTAATAATTTGCTGCTCTGTGTGTTTGTGTGTGTTTCTGTTTATAGTTTTATATAAAGATTCCTGCATGCATGTATTGCTAAAGCATATAATTTACACTTGTGGTATACATGCTGTAAATTTTTCTCAAGGTTTTGAAGGTTCTTTCTTTCCTCTTAATGTAAGAAAACCCACATTACTATATTTTTAACTTATTACCTTTTGAAGCTCTAAGCTGCATCCATCAATAAACAGGTGGTTATGATTTAAGTGGCTGTTGCTTCTGCTTGCCAGATTACTTCCCTATTTGCAACTGCTGAAGCACAACTTGATCAATTTATGTGAAGGAGTATTAACATCAGATGATAAGGAAGATTAGCTTCTAATATGCATTGCTTTTATATTGACCAGTTATATTTGTAGAATTACTACTATTTTAATACTGAAATAAAATGATTAAATACATATTACATAAACTGATATTCCTAATAGTGCTTTTTCACAAATGCAAATAAAAAAGATATCCAAAAAGTTATAAACCCAAAAGTCACTGCAGGCTAAGACACTGTTTGTCATATTTATTTTAATCTTGCATTGTTTATTTTAATCACATGAATATCAGCAAATCATTACACTACCCAAAACAATTAGATATAAAATTTGTCATCCCCTGGAAGTATAGCTGTGATAGCTGGGAATATTGAAAGTTTGCTATTCAACACACCTCAAATATACCTGTTTCGAAAAGATTGATCTGCAAAATAAACATTGGTAGAAGGTAACTATAAACTAGAATTATAATTGTCCAGTGCCATTTATAGACTAGAACTAATATGAGCACAATATCCCCTTGGTAAGCTTACTTATATACAGTACTTGCCTACCTAGATATGTGAGTGTATTTATGCTGAAGCTAATTTGTATCTAGGCATAGTCCAAAGATTGAATTATGGAGGGAAGTGCTGAAATCATTTTTTTAAATTGTCAATCATTACAAATTTAAACTTCCTCCATTTGCAATGATGTTACTAGGGCAAATATATCCAACTAATTAGGCTACCATTTTCATGGTATACTCTTATCATTATTCAGGTAGGACAGTAGATAGTACTTGTAATAATTATAGAAAACAGAAGCCTTAGGAAGAAAAGGTATGTTTTTTAAAAAAGTAATTATTAAAAATAATAATTGTTCCCTGTTGGCCTTATAAAGACTTATATTAGATTTCATGAGTTGCTCTGCCAAAATGCTTGGATATAAGACTGAGTTTTAAGTGCTCTTAACATCCTCTTAAATGCCATTAAAGTGAATAACATTACTGTAAGACACTGAATGGCAACGCTTTAATAGCTATAGTTTTCAAAGGATCTAAAACTTATATGCTCGGTTCCTTCTGACATTAAAAGCCCTGATCCTATGCTTATCTCTTAGAAATATCTATCACCTTGTTCATTGGACTTCTACCATATGAGATGCATAGAAAGATAAAATTGATGAATGTTTGGTATTGAACACAATTTGACAGTGTTCATGAATGAAAAAACTTTAATTCAAAATACTTGATGTATAGTTCCTGCCAACTTCCAGTAGAAGTACAGAAGTCCAACCTAGTTGATGCCTAATCTTTGTTATGCTTTGTTCTCTCATAAGCCTTGCTTTTCCACTAACTTTCAGTCTTTGTTTGGCTTTCGTTGTGTGTTCAGGTGGCCCACAGAGTTAGCTACAACGTTCCTTAAAATTATTTTACTAAACCTGTCATTTGCTGCAGGCCAAATACTGGGAGATTGGGATAAATGTTTATTCATCTGGAATGAATTATGTGCCTGTTTTCCTATCTAAAGGACCTTGGCTTAAAAAAAAGAAAAATAGAGTAAGAAGAAAAGGTGATCACATGCATAATTCCAATAATATGTAGTCTTAATTTCAAATATAAATAGGCTGGCTAATAACCCCAACAGTGATTATATTCACAAGTTATCTTAAAAGGGTCATTTAATAAAGAAAAAGCCGCTTCAGTCACATTCTAAAATATTAGATGTGCTAAGCACTGAAACGTTAAAATATTAACGTTGATTAACGTTGGACCCTTTAAATTGGGTCCACACTGTAGAAATATTAGGCATTTGGTGTCTTATAAACTTTGTGCAGTAGTACAGGTAGTTCTCGACCACAATTGAGTCCAAAATTTCTGTTGTTAAATGAGACATTTGTTAAGTGAGTTTTGCCACATTTTATGACCTTTCTTGTCTCAGTTGTCAAGCGAATCACTTTGGTTGTTAAGTTAGTAACCCGGTTGTTAAATGAATCTGGCTTCCTCATTGATTTTGCTTCTCAGAAGGCCACAAAAGGTGAGCACATGACCTTGGGACACAGCAACGGTCATAAGTATGAACCAGTTGCCAAGCATCTGAATGTTGGTCATGTGATCGTGGGGATGCTACAAAGGTGGTAGCTTTGAAAAATGGTCATAAGTCACTTTTTCCAGTGCCATTGTAACTTTGAATGGTCACTGAATGAACCGTTGTGAGTTGAGGACTACCTGTACTTGAGGTCCATCTATTTACATGTTCTTTTCTCTTCAGCTTGACTTTTTTCTGCCTCCTAATTTGTTGTCCTGCCTGTTCCCCCTTCACACTTGCACTGTAGCTTCAGTCACAAACAGACCCTACCCAACATACCCAGACTACGTGGAGATTTCCATCTACTGCTCGGGAGTCTTCATCATTGTCTGTATGGTGCTGGTCGTCATTGTGTGCCGCATGAGATCTTCAACCAAAAAATCAGACTTCAGCAGTCAACCAGCGGTACATAAACTGACAAAGCGCATTCCTTTGCGCAGACAGGTAACAGAAAGTAGATAAAGAGTTACAAAAACCTATTTCCCTTCCCTTGAGCCAGCAAATCTTTTGGGGGCAAAAGGATTCTGATTCAGGGAGTGTCTAATGGCTGAAAAAACAGTAGTTCTATAAATTCAAAGTTTTTGGGGAACCCTCAGCAAAGTCTGATTCCAAATATTTAAATCATGTTTAAATCATAAAAATGTACTCATGATTTAGGATAATAGATCAGTTCTCTGCATAAGCTCTGAGAGTGTTCATCCAGGATATAAATGTAAAGGAAAGTTGTTATATTTAAAACTCTGATCCAAGGAATTCACATTGAGGAAGTGAATAATTTTCAGAAACCAATTTTGAGTCCACAAATTCAATTAGAGAACTGATTTTCAAAGTGTTGTAAGTTATTTAATGTCAGGGCAGAAATGAGTGATATTGAGAAAGAGAGATTAAGTTTCTAGGGGAAAAAGAAATATTTACCGAGCTACAGTAAATAGAAAAGATTTAGCACAGGAGGAGAGGAAAATCAGCATAAGTCTAGATTTTTTTAGGGGGCAGGATGCAAATTCCATAGGCACAGAAGTCTTCATCTGAAGAGCAATAATTTTGCTTTACTATAGTATCACAACACAGTAATATGTCCACATGGTGGAATGTGATTTCTGATCCCTGAAAATGTTTTTTGTTCCTTATGTCTGATTTATACTATAGAGAGATAAAGAGATTTGCATGTATGAAATTGTGTCTTTGTGTGTGTGTGTGTGTGTGTGTGTGTGTGTGTGTGTGTGTGCACGCCGATAGAGAAGAATCTTTAAAAACAAATAGAAATTGATGATGTGTATTGATATAGCTTCTAATGCTATTTTATGCTAAGTTACTATAAATGGCATTTTTGAAATTCCAGATCATCTCATGTTTGTGATATTCAAAGTAAACTTCCTGTAAGATATTTTATGATTTTATATGTAGCATTAACTTATCAAAATATTTATAAAAAACTAAACTATCCAAGTTTCCCTGAAAATAAGACCCTGTCTTATATTTTTTTGCCAGCAAAAAAAGGTACCAGGTCTTATTTTGGGGGAGATGTTGTCCACTGACTCACTTGCGCGTTTCCGGCCTCCTTTCCACTATCAGAGGCCTTCAGGAACTTCTTCTAAGGCCAGCAAGGCTTTCCTGAAGGTCTCTGCAGCTGATAACAGAGCTCTGGATTGATCTGGAGCTCTGTTATCAGCTACAGAGGCCTTCAGGAAAGCCTTGCCAGCTGTAGAAGAAATGGCAGGTGTCGGGGTATGTGAGGCCTGGCTGCAACTTGAAGGTAAGTAGGGCAGCTCTAGCCCCCATTCCCACCCTCACTTAATTTTTACCCAAGCACCCTGGAGTGGGTGGAATCTTAATTAGGGCTTATTTTGGGGGTAGGGCTTATATTGGGTTCATGTGTGAAATCAAACTAAGACTTACTTTCGGGGTCGTTGTATTTTCAAGAAACACAGTATTATGATTAAATCATTTTCTCATTGGCATGGTCATCATCTTGCCATTGAAACTAATATGAAATAAAAATTAACACAATATTTTATTCCTTGTGGGAAAATTTTGTTTGGTATTCATTGTTTTTGGTACTCATTGTACTTCTCGGAACCAATAATGAGTAACAACATACTACTGCATCTTTACACTCATATTTGTGTATATAAGAAAACACATGAAAAATTGAATGTCTTGCTTTCAGCTAAACAGAACTTTCCCTTTCAGCCTTCTTAAAGATAGTGATCTGAATCGTGGATAAAAGGAAATCATTGGAATGGACCCAAACAAAAACATCTAGATGACCTGACTTAGATATCAGAGAAAATATTATTGGTATAGAGCACAAAGCATCAATCAGTAGTTAGGCCATGGTTCACCATAAACTTAGTCTTTCCTCAATACCAGTTATCCCAAACTATTGATTTGCTTTTGGAATGCTTTGCTTTTGTCATCTCTCACAGATTTGCACATGGAAGTCCACACAGCAGATCTAATAGATAGGTTGTGTTGCAGGTTTACCGAAATAATTGGTGGTTTATTTCCTAATAATTATTGGCAATCATACAGTAATTATTGAAACTTAACATTATTTCCATAATGGCAATTGAATGACAATTCAAGAACGTAAGTCAAAGAAATTATAATTTGTAGGCACACACAAGCACACACACATGGTTTCTTCTACTCCTAAATGTTACTGCAGAATTATATTTAAGGTTATTTTTTTCTACTTTTTCCTCTAAATCCAAAGTAGTTAGGGAAAAAGAAATCCAAATATATTTGGTTTACAATCATGTGTTACTGAATGAGATGTCGAAGGCTGTATTGGTTCTATCCATAAAATACCCTTTTATGTTTGCCATCTACTACTTTTATTCTGAAATTTGATTAAAAATTTTTTTTGAAGTGATTTAATAATAATCTTTTTATACTATCACAGCTAAATAGAAACTAAAACAGCTAAATGCAGTATGGTTTCTTCTTGGTGTTCATAGCATTAGTAGAAACAATCATACATGAATTTAGCAGTCAATTGGTTTAGATGACATTTGGAGTCCTAGTGATACAGCAATTAGATTTTCACATTTTTAGAGATAATTTGTCTGTGAGAAATCATTCATACTGGACAATTTAGGACATAAGTGAAATAGTTCCATATATAGGAAATTGCTTCTAACATTCCAGGTTTCCCAAGCTAAATTATCAGAATTAATATACCAGGTGCTGCTTGTGATACAGGCTTCAGAGATTTTATTTTGCTGCAGATATGTTGCAATGAATTGATTATCCAAGTCAATAAGATTTCCTAGGGGATCTTCCAATGAATACATGAAAACTTATTTTTTCAGTTTTCTTTATCACTTCAGCAAATTGCCCCAATAAAATTAAACCAGGAGAAAAGGAATGCTGCTGATTTTCCTCCATTAATAATAATTCAGAAACTAGAGTACATTCAAAGATTATACTTGCTAATTCTCTCATGTTGTTTAGGAAAACTGCCAGATCCCAAGTGATTAGGAAACCTACAAGTCTAAATTAATTTGCTAATAACAGATCTATCAAGTAAAGTACAGCACAAACTGCACGTAATAAACTTCACCAAGTTTTTGCTACAGAAAATGGTCTTTACTATTTTTTTTTATTTAAAAAATTGTTATTCTAAACACTGTTTAAAATCAAAAGCAATGTATCATACCATTGGATCAGAATTTTTTTTTTTTACATTCACCAGTTGGAGTGATTATCAGAAAGTTAAAAGTTAAAATTTCAAAAAATAAAAGTTAACGGCATTTTTGAAGAAAAAATAACTATGTGCAGAATGTACGGATATATAATATATAAAGAAAAAAGGAAGAGAAGGAAGTCCTTTTCTAAACAAAATGCTCTAACGGAATATAGAATAATCTGTCTAAACGTAAATACATTTTTCCTTCTGAAAACCATCTATGAACTAGACTCAAAGGGCTTTCTTGTACTTGAAACCAACCTGTACAACTAGAAATAGGCATTAATTGTCCTTTACATTCTGTAATAGTTTTACTCCATAAATAATCAAAGGATGTATTTATCTTTGAGATTCACTTGTTTGTTTTATATCTATCTGCCCTTTGTCTGTCTTTCTGCCTGTCTATCTATCTACCTGTATGTCTGCCTGCCGGCCTGCCTGCCATATCTATCTATCTATCTATCTATCTATCTATCTATCTATCTATCTATTTCTATCATCATCACATCTATGCACACACTCTCAGACACAGATTAATAATTGCTATAAAGGAAATGTGTTTTTGTTATAAAGCTTGTATATTTTATTTAAATTAAAAGTTTAATCGACTATACAGATTTGATCTCAAAAGGGATTAACAAAGTTTCACTAGCTTTTCTAGAACTTCATTATGCGTAATATAGTTTTAAGCAGTTTTAAGTAGACTTTTCCATGTAAGGCCAGGGTCACTTTCTGCTTTGAAAAAAATAAAACTTTTGAGCTGTGTATTGTAATTGTTAACAATTTTTATACAATGAACAATCTTCAAATCCTTTTCTAATGTATATGTGTATCTCATATAAGGAATTTCAGCTTACGTTAAAAACAATCATTGTTCTGTATGGTTAAAAATAAGGAGTGGCTTTGGAAAAACACATTTTTTAATCTAAATGTTTTTCTATAGTAGCCTGAACAACTATTCTGTCATTTAACTGAGGATAGCCCTGGTCATGTTTTGGTCAAATTAATGTGAGCATAACTTTTTGGCAGGTTTGAATTCATACTAAAATAATTCCCCCTTTGTTTTTTCATGTGATTATCCCTGTTGTTTAGTAACAGCATATTTTACATCAAGCTGTCTTCTATCATTTTTCACATGGCCCTAAGCTAAATTTGTTTTAATTTTACTACCAGTTTCCATAACAATCTGCTTCCCCCCCTCCATGATGGTAAAATTCCAGGATAATTAAAAATGGTGAGCAATCATAAATATTTTAACATCTAAGACATCTCACTAAATACCTGCCATGGAGGAGCTGTTTATTTCTCCCTCAGCCCCTGCCCCCCCCAAAAAAAGAAAGAATGGTGGACACAACCATTTCACAAAGCATAGCATTTGCAACAGGCAAGCAGGAATACATAACACATGCAAGGGGAGCTGATTAAATATGTAATTAACATACTTAAATATGTGTGGATAGGGGAACAATTAGTTATTGATACTAAAGCACAAAGCATCATATGAGGTTTACCTGATGTCTGTCCTGTCTTGCCCCAGGTCTTCTTTATTTATGTGTATACTTGTTTATTTTTATTTAAATTCTATGGCCACTCACCTCAACAGGATGACTCTGGGCAGGTATGCCATTAACTTTTCTTCTAGGCAGATGGCACTATTCAAAACAAAGCACCGAACTCTTACCTTTTTCATATTCTAAGAATTGATATGGAATCTCTATGGAGCCCAGAGAGATTCTTGTCAAGCAGATTCATACTAGAGACCACTGCTTTATTTAACAGCATGTTCTAGTTTCACGTAGTATCGTGTCAGCTGGAATAAGGAAACTAAGATGCCAAAAGAGGTATTTGTGTGACATGGGTTCTTACAGGCTATCTTTGCTCTCTTCTTTGGGGCATATATATTACAGGATTTGGAGAGAAAGGTTTCAAACTGTATTACATGTTTATAAAATAAATACTGTTAAACAGCTCGTTTTGAATTGGGAATAAAAAAATCTGTTCATCTAACAGTCATATCAGATCATAAATGAAAAACATTCACTGAGGTTTTATATTCCAGAATGATTCTCAGATTATGTTGCAAGAAATGATATTTGTTTCCATATTTTGAATGGCAGTTTTGCAGGGTCATAATCCAACTGTGTTTAAGAAAACAATTTTTCTTTGTTTGGCTTTGGTTGAATGTTTAATATTGAATATGGGGAAGGGGGTGTCCTGAATTTTTCCCACTTTATTTTTGCATGTATGAGAGTAAGACTGAAAAGTGACTGGTTTGGGGTGTGCATCTGCATATAATCACAATATAAACAGATGATCCAACTGAAGTTACATCCAAACATAACTAGCGATAGAGGCACTAGGCTAGAAAGTAGGAAACCAGGATTTCTAGTCCCACTTAAACAGCTGGGTGACTTTAGCCCAGTCATTCTGTCTCAGCCCAACCTAGCCACAGAGTTGTTGTGGGCACAGTAGGAGGAGAAAGGTGTGTTGGATATGTTTGCAGTCTTGAGTGATTTGTAAAAATAAAATAATCCTAAATAAATATAAATAAATAAATAAATACAAAATTAATTACCTACATCTTATAATATGGAAATGGATGAATTTATCTGTGTCACATTCTAAAAGTGTACCCGTCTTGTAAATTATTTTCAAGTCTCTTGTTCAAATTTAATAAGTCTGAATAAATTTCTAAAATTGTATGAATGGATAGAAAAGTTAATCTGCCACCATCAGTGAGCTGTTGGACAGTATTACTTGGTCTGTTGTGTGGATCTTTGGGTGGTTTAGGGGTGGGGAATTGTGGGTGGGAGTGTGTTTGGGGATTATTATGTGTGTTGGACCTGGTCTTTGGGTGTTAAGTGAATTTCGTTGTATGGGTATACGGTGTATACACGAACAATGACAATAAAGTTATTTATTTATTTATTTTCTCTTTTAAAAAGGAGGAGGAGGAACAGGAGGAGGGGAGGAAGAGGAGGAGGATAATCACAGCATATTTTTAAAAATATGTTTTGGGACAATAAGGATGAAAAATTGTTACAAATATAGTTAGTAAATAATATAAACATCCATTCAGAATTCATTAAGGAAAGTCTGGATTTATAATTAATTTAATATGAAGTTAATTAAAAGAAGTGTTTTAATAGTAAGATTCCCACCAGGACAGTACAATTGTGAGTAGTGCATCTACTCACTTTCAGAAACTGACTAGTACCCATGAGCTGGCTGTCCTCTTTTCTAGTGCCAGTTTGCAACAGTTGGGCCCAAATTACATCTCCTTTTTGCATCTTGTATTCAAATAACAGGTGTCTGCAGAATCAAGCTCTTCTATGAACTCCAACACACCATTGGTGAGAATTACTACCCGTCTTTCTTCCAATGCTGATGCTCCCATGTTGGCTGGAGTTTCAGAATATGAACTACCAGAAGACCCAAAATGGGAATTCCCAAGAGATAAGTAAGTAATTATGAAAGAAAATTTCAGTCTTTCAGTTCTCATATCCCTCATCCAGAAGAATTTTACGTATTTACTAATGCTGTAACAAAGCAGGGCAATAAACTGGTCATGGTATACAGGGATTTCTCCCTTTTTTCTGTTGTATATTATAAACCAAGAAAGCGTGGTCCTGACCTCAAACAAAACCCTGTTTGGCCCTCATTCTTAACCAAAGTTAAACCTTTTGGATGCTTGTAATCCAGTTTATATTGAAAACTTCAAACAACTCATTTTAAAAATTTATCCCTGAACAGTTTGCTCTTTGGCATTTCATGTATATTTATGGAAATACTCGTAATTAGGTGAATGAAAGCTAGTGCCATACATTTCACTTGCCACCTGCAAGATTCTAGTCAACAGTGGGGGTTGTATGCATAACTCTGTCATCCTTTCCCTGAGGGGAAACATTAATGCGGAAAATCTTAACGCATTAAACACTTAAAACAGCATTCAGCATAAATGCTGGTGGACCAGATTTGTAATGAAAGAAGCTCTTTAAACTGAGGTTTATTAGATTGGGGGGCTGTAGGCTCACAAAGACAATATTGTTTAAACTCATATGAGAAGCAAAAGAACACATAAATTAGTCATTTTCCAATGCAAATGTTTGCTTTCTGCCAAGATCTTAAATTCAATTTTAGTTTCAGAACAAGCACAGCATGATCTCAGCTAAGCATACAACCCTTTAGTCTTTGTCTATTGTCGAAGTAGCAGACATTTTCATAACAGATATATTAAAGTATTCATTAATATTAACATGATTAAATTAAAAGCTTTTTCAGTTAAAACTTTATTTTTAAAGAATGTTTACTTTAACTGTGGTTTTATGGCATGGACATTTAATTTTATATGAAAGAAAACATTGTGTATTCACACTGATCGGAAAACATACCAACAGTAGATATTATTGTCTGTTCCACAAGAATATGAAAAAAATGTTTCAAGCTTTAAATAGCCATTTGATCTGTTGATGTTCCATAACCCATAGTTAACCCATAATTGATCTTGGGATAAAACTTTCTGTGCTTTTAAGATATAAAATCACAGTGACATTTTTCAGAATTCAAGCAAGCTAAAAAAATCCTGTTTTGGTACTTCTAAGTGTATGAGAAAGTGTTGCCAATAAGTATTAATTACACACAGAATCCGTACTTCAAAAGCTGAATGGGGGAACGTGCCCAAACGTCTGGATGTATTTTAATACCCTTGTTAGTTCTTTGTAAGAAATGTCCAAGTCAAAACGATTTGCTGAAAGGTTCTTTTATGTTTCACTCTTGTATTTCACTGATTTCAACTGTTCATCAGATGCTTTATGCTAATCCTTGATTTACATCCCAGGTTGACGCTAGGGAAGCCTCTTGGGGAAGGATGCTTTGGTCAAGTTGTCATGGCAGAAGCAATGGGCATCGACAAAGAGAGGCCCAAAGAAGCGGTTACTGTTGCAGTGAAAATGTTGAAAGGTAAAGAATCAAACGACAAGTTCTGCAAATCAAGTTTCTTGATCTCGTGGTCTCTGAAATTCATTTCGTTCACTGTGGGCATCAGCAGTTTTCCTAGTAAATCAGTGTATTTGGCAGTGCATTTAATTTTAATAATTGCTATTTACAAAGAGAGCTTATTTGTGTAGTAATCAAGCTGGAAAGCAGGAGACAGTGAGTTCTAGTCCGGTCTTACACACAAAGTCAGCTGAGTGACCATTGGCCAGTCACTCTCTTTCAGCCTTGGGAAAAAAGCAATGGCAAACTACTTCTGAAAAATGCTGCCAAGAAAATTTTAGGGACTAATTCAAAGGCACACACACAAAAATTACAAACAAGGCAAAAAAAATGTTCATGGCTGACTAATTGCATTGCTGTATGTGGTCATTGGTTTATGAACATTAATTTGAGGAATCCATAGCAAAATGCATTTTTGGACATCATCCAACACTTTTTGAAACAAACAAACAAAAAAGAACAAAAGTTTATAAAGAAAGCACATGAAAGTGTAGTGATGAGAGATCCTGAGACTTCATTTTAATATATCTGAAGCTTTACTGATGAATGACACTCATGTACAAACATGGGTGATAGGCCTATCCTTTCTCAGATACAAGTCTTATAAAACAGTCTGTGTGTGTGTGTGTGTGTGTGTGTATGTGATATGTGCTTATACAAATCTTTAAATACTGGAGATAATAAAATGGATTTGTTGCTAATAATTGTTATGTTTCTTGTATAACACCAATCTCATCCACAGTTTCCCTGATCTCAGTTGGGTTTCCTTCTGATTAGATATATAAAAATAAGATATACAGTAAAGGAGATCTTTTCAAAGCCAAGGCAACTTTACAAGTTACTCTGGTTTAATAGAATCCATACCTTATTGCTCTTAGAAGTGCATTTAAGTCTTATTCTGCTATTATGCATTTATAGTCATATAGATACATAGCCTTTTAATCAAAATTTATACGTGGTCTCTCTTTATAAGAGATCAGGAATATTGTTTAGAATTCCCTCTTGGATCTCTGTAGCAAAAACAAACCAAAGAAGGAAGAATACCTAATAGACCATAGTCTGATTTCCTTGGGAAGGAAAAAAGCTACTTTTAGCTCTTCTAAGAGATTGGCCGGTATAAATCAATGCAAGGACTAAAGATTTGATCTAGAACTGTCATTTTACTAACTGGATGAGCTGTTCAATAGATCAGTTAAGGGAAAAGTGAGTTGAGTTCGTACATTGTTTAAAACTGCACGGCACTTGTTCTGTCTTGCAAAGACGACGCCACAGAGAAAGATTTGTCTGACCTGGTATCTGAGATGGAGATGATGAAGATGATTGGGAAACACAAAAATATCATCAATCTTCTGGGAGCATGCACTCAGGATGGTGAGTGTCATTTGAATCTTGCAATCTTTTTTTTTTTTTTGAAAATGGATCTTGCAATCTAAAGGTGCTGAAACAATGTCATTTTATTGTGCAACATGGAACTTTTTTTTTTTTCATTCCGCACAAGCTAAATGAAAATTGCAGTCCGAGGGGCAGTAGAGACACTCTGATGAATAGCATACTTGTACTTCGCTTGAAAAATAAAACATAACTCAGAATTAGTGTGCTTGGACCAGCGGTGGGTTTCAATCAATGTTACCACTGGGTCGCTTCATGCACGCACTTCACATGCATAACTGTATTACAATATTAGGAATACTATTAAATCTCTCCACCCTTCTTTCCCTACCTGTGCACTGTAATTCCCTCCAATCCAGAAGTTGAAAAGATTATTAACTTCACTGACTCCACTGATGGATTTTCCTATTCTAGTTTCCTAAGAGTCTGTGGGAAAGTTTCAGGAGAGCAAGCGAAGTACTTATGTGAAATACTAAACTGTACAATTAGTTTGGATAATTGCATAAAGAGTCTCTGTTAATGAAGAGGGAGAGAAAAAGAAATGCAGAGGAATAATTTTGCTTTGCTTTGCTTTTCTAATATCTTAATCTACTTTCTATGAGAAGAAAACATAAGGGTTACATTTCCCCCCAATTTTTCAATAACATTTGAATCCTAATGATCAATGTATATCTTTCACTATGTATATCATGATCTAGATCAGGGGTGTCAAACTGGCGGTCCGCGGGCCTGATGCGTCACCTGCAGGCCACGCCTACTCCAGCTCCATGAAGGGGAAAAATGTCACAATACGTCACATGACTGCAATGTAATGCCACTAGTTTGACACCCATGATTTAGATGATATAATAGTGAAGCATAAAAAAATATTTTCTTTTTGGTTGGTTTGCCTTTTCTGTGCATGTTGGGGTGGTCGTATTATAGATATGTTGAATCACAACAATATCTCCTCATGCTGTACATTTGTTTATTTTAAAGGGCCTCTATATGTGCTTGTCGAATATGCTTCCAAAGGGAATTTGCGAGAATACTTGCGAGCCCGGCGTCCACCAGGAATGGAATATTCATTTGATATTAACAGGGTCCCTGAAGAGCAGATGACATTCAAAGACTTAGTCTCATGTACATACCAGTTGGCAAGAGGAATGGAATATTTAGCATCACAAAAGGTAAGCCACTGCTGTTTTTTAAAAAGTTTTTCATTGCAGTTTGGTATTGTCATGTCAGGATGTTATTTTCCACCTGAAAGGGCAGTTTTTTACATTTAAAGAATAAGATCAGCATATGATACAAAAGAGTCCCAGCACTTTCTTATGCAAAACATATGGACATATATGTAACAAAACAACTGATTACATTTACGTGGTTGCAATAGGTCTATGAGAACATAGTCATGGAATATAAATCTTCAAAATGAGAATTAAAAACTGATCAGGCTGGTACTTCATAAATTAAGAGCTCTGTATATTTGTTCATTCTATTACTTTTGGACATTTAGCAACCCAATACTATTTCAGAAACATGCACATTATTCTAGCAGACAGGAATATCCGTACCTTACTCCCCCACAAAAAAATATTAGCAATATTTCAGAAGTTGTTTGCCATTGCCTGCTTCCTAGACCTGAGAGAGAGAGAGTCATTTGCCCAAAGATAGCTTTCACATAGTATCCTGGTTTCTAGCATGCTACCTGAACCACTATATCAAATTGGCTCTCTTTATAAATTCCTCTTCCAAAAACAGAAGTCTAGATACTTGGACAACAGTATCTAGACATTAACAATACAGCTTGGTTTCAGTAGACATGAAAGATACAGCTTCGGTCAACTGCCTCTTCCTCTGCATTTACTTATACAGAGAAATGAGGGCCAATAACCACTGGCAAGAGAGCCAAAATAGAATAGAATAGAATAGAATAGAATAGAATAGAATAGAATAGAATAGAATAGAATAGAATAGAATAGAATAGAATAGAATAGAATTTTTTTATTGGCCAATGTAATTCTAAGATTCACTGCTATATTCTTATATTCAACTACTTTAAAAATTGCTGATCTCATTCCATTTAAGTGATAATTAAATTTCTTGGGTAATCAGGTCTGTAAACAGCATATGATAATCTGCTGCTTAATAGGCTGAAAAGTGATGGAAAATATGTATATAATTTAGGCATGGTGATATATCTATCACATGAGGGAAAAACTAATAATACTGAATCAAGAATTATATAAATTCCTTTTTCCCCTTAAACCTGTTATATCACTAGAAGAGATGAGAAAGGCATAGATAAACTAGGTGAATCCTAACTATTAAAGAGATTAAATTCCAGATTTTGTATCACAGGAGAGTTAGTACAAATTGTACAAATACATCAGAATTAATATTAAATTCCAGTGTAATGATTCCAATTAACATCGGAAAGAATAGAACTCCTTCATGTATTGTCATTTATGGATTTTATTTAAAATCCAAAATTTTAAAATAATAATTATTATTGGTTTGAAATATTCCGTGTCAATCTAGTGTCTGTTGCCTAGTTAAACTTAAATAGCTTCCCAATGATGTTATGACCTGCTCATGACCTCATAATGCTGCCATTGCAGAGGCATTGATTTTCAAATAAAATGGGAAATTAATTACAATCTTTTCAGAGTTGGATCTTTAAAGAGACCTCCTTTTCAAGATTTCTGGTGATAAAATGCTTGTTACAGATTAAAAAGGGAAACTGTTCCTTCAGAACATTGTATAAAATGCCTTCAGATTTTTTAGAATATTTTTTTCTTTTGTGATCATAACATAAAACAATATTCATTTCTACTGTCCTAATTTAATTAGTAAATTATTAGTAAGTAATTAAAAATAAACAGATTCTAAAAAGGCTGATGAGCTACAAAAAGCTACAAAATTAATAAACGAAATTACTTTTAATAAAAGGAAACCACTATATCACAAGACCACTTTATAATCTTTTATTTTGTACAATTTCTCTATTTACAGACTCCATCAACTTATTTTTAAAAAGTATACAATAAATATCCAGTAGAGATACTTTTGTGAAGTTAATCATAGCTTCAGTTAAGGAGTCTTGCTAAGTAGATGTGTAAGAATGGCAAGAAGGAATCCATATAAAAATTTTAGAAAAACATTGTTAGTATTTATAATAATAAATACTAGGAGCCTGGATAGCTCTGCAGACTAAAAGCAGTGTAATTTAACACCAGCTGTCTGCAATTAAAGTAAGTTCGAATCTTGCCAGGCTCAAGGTTGACTCAGCCTTCTATCCTTTCTAAGGTAGGTAAATTGAGGACCCAGTTTGTGGGGGCAATAAGCTGACTTTGTATAAAATATAGAAAAGTATGAAGGATATTGCTTAACGCACTGTAAGCTGCCCTGAGTCTTCGGAGAAGGGTGGCATATAAATCAAATTTAAAAAAAAAATTCAATCCACATGTCCAGTTTTACAGGTGAAATAGTATATTTGAGTGACTGCATCATTACCAGCTTGGAATAATATTTAATTTAGCTTTGTTTAATAAAATGATTATATTAAAAAAAATGTCAATCTTAATACATCCTTTTAAAAAGAATTTCAATTTAGTTTTAGAATTTGCTAGGAGCTTATAACTTATCGTAATAAATATTATATAAAAATTAATTTTAATTTTGAGGCATTAGATTATCTACCTTTGAAAATTAATAGTTATACCATCCTATAAATGAATTAAGATATGACTATGAATTTTAAAATATCAGAAAATGTAAGAAATAGAGTGAAAGTACAGCTGTTTGCCTCTAAATCCTGGAAACATGCTCACAAAGGGGTTGTGTCCCATTATTACCGTGTTTTTCCAAAAAGAAGGACGGGTCTTATTTTCTTTTGACCCCCGAAAAAAAAACACTAGGCCTTCTTTTTGGAAGGTTCTAATTATTGACTCACCTCGCAGCAGACCCACCAACAGCCCTACCCAGCAGGAGCCTGCTGCTGGCCCACGTCTGCATCCGCTCGCCGCCACTCACACGCATTGCCCTGGCCTCCATTTTGCCTTCAGATAGCTGCTGGAAGTCCTCTGTAGCTGATAACAGAGCTCCAGATCAAACTGAAGCTCTATTATCTCTATTATCAGCTGCCTTCCAGCAGGCATCTGAAAGCGAAACGGAGGCCAGGGTGATGCGTGCGAGTGGCGGCAAGCAGCCGCAGAAGAACGCGAGGCAGGTGTTTGGGTGTGTGAGGTCTGGTAAGTAGGGAAGCTCCACCCCCATCCCCACGCTACTTCTTTTTTACCTGTGTGCCTTGCCCCATCCCCTGCACCCCTGCACCTCTTAATGAGGGCTAATTTTGTGGCTGGGCCTTAATTTGATCGCATGTGCTCAAAAACATGATAGGTTTCTTTTCAAGGCAGGTCATCTTTTTGGAGAAACACAGTATTATAAGTAACAATCATTGAAATAGCAGGGTTAACATTTATCTTCTGCTGTCCAGAATTCCAGGCACTTTGTTTAATTGTCTCAGTAATTCTTATCTTTATGCAATCAATTTATGGATGGATGGATTACATGCCAACAAGTTGCTTTGGGTTTTTAACCTTTTCTTTCAAGTCTCCCAATGGTGTAACTGGATCTATCCATCTTGTTGCTGGTCATCCTCTTCTTTCCTTTCCTCCCACCTTTTCTATCATTGGAGCTTTTTCCAGAGAGCTGGGTCTTTGCATCATGTGTCTGAAGTAGGATAATTTGAGCTTGGTCCTTTGTGCCTTGAGTGAGAATTCTGGGTTCTTTGTTTGATCATCCTTCAGCTTGTTTTATTAGATGCCCCTGATATTCTGAACATTACAGTTCAAAGGTGTAAAAACTCCATTTTCACTTCCCTATAGTGTCACAAAATATACCATGGCTTGTACAGTTCTGATTTTTGTAAATATAGATACATCATGGTAAATATAGATACATCAAGGCCCTCATAGCTTTTTAACCAATGCCAGCCTGTGGCATATTTCTGGGCTGCTTGTTCCTTTACTGTGGATGGTTGATCCTAAAAGTCAGAAACTATCCACCATTTCAATATAATCATTGTCAAATCTCTCTGCTATATTGCACATAATGATTATTATTTATACAGTAATTCTGGAAAACTAATATGGAAAGATGATGATTCGAACAAAGATTCTTTTGGCTTGCCATTCCATACAATTTTCCACTACCTGTTTCAATATCTATGCTGCACTGAGTTTTTTCTGCAGGTAAAGTGTGCTTGGATATAGTTCCTTCTCTTGAAGTATAGATTTCTTGAATTTCTTACTATAGCATGTATCAATCCAACAAAATTTCTCTACCTCCCGTTTGATTGCTTTTTTAAAAAAATGTTCACATTACAACAACAGAAACTAATTATGTTATATCTCCATGTACAATAGTACTGTGTTTCAGTGACAGAAGATAAAATCAACAGGTTTTAAGTAGCCAAAGAATCTAGACTAGCTTTTAAGAAAACTGCTTTCAGAGCATTTGACGTATATGACTGGAATACTTTTAAGGATATAAATACTTTACTGAGAAGCTTTGAAATGATTAAAGTGCCTCCTGGAAGATATTGTTTAAATTTAAAAGAAACTTTGCCTCAATCTGAAAGTTAAATTGGATAAATTTATATACCCCTTTTTTAAACTGCTTATTTCAGTGACAGCATAATTTTGCACTTGAATTTCACCTAAGAACAGCTTTATTGGCATAAGAGTGTGTTTCAGTGTAAGAGAACCAATTCAAACAATTACTGGGAGTAGATATGGGATCATTCTTTACATTATTCCTTACACCTGGCCGTGTGGCCCTAAGTTTTTGCTTCTTGGTTTTCAATTCAGCTCTTGCTGTATTGTTCTATATTTTATTAGCATTCATTTGTTTTGTACTCAACACTAAGAGATGAATAGAACAAATGAATAGTTCATTTGATTTGAAAAACTGAAAATGCAAAGCCTACTGTAGAAAAATAGTAGGTCAACTTAATTTTAAAAGGCCAAGAACTGCAAGCTATATAACACGGAGTTTTCTAGATTAATGGCAAAATTAAGACTCAATTCATATTGAATATTGAATTCATTCAGGCTCCCCATATTTCATTTGGCTATCATTTGATTCCTTGCTTATTCTGTATTTCAAAAACTGTAATTTTCATTACAATAAGTTACATAAGATATACTGTAGTTCCACATGTAGTAGAGAAAAATAAATTAGGTCAAGAATGGCTTTTCTTCACCCACATAGCTAGTTTAAAATATTATATTTTAATATTATAGCTAGTTTAAAATATTTTAAACTTCATTTATTTATACATATATTAAAAAGAATCACAGCATACATAATTGTGCAGTTTTTTTACCCTGCAGACTAACAGACTAATAATCTGTTCTATAGATTTTTTTAAATTATCCATTTGCTTTGCAATCAAGTGTCAGAGTCTTGGGAAAACTTTGGAGAAAATTTTTTGCAAATATAAAATTAGAATAATCACAAGTAAAAAATAATAATAAAGATTGAATAAAAATAGATGAATCAAATGTAAACGTAGTTTATAAATGATTTCTTGAACATTTTAAATAGAATCCAGTAATAAACATCAGTATGTCTTCTATTTTATTACTCCATGTTTAATTTTATTTTTCTAGCAATCTCTTAAAACATAATTTCCTAAAGATCTTTCTCTTTTCTCAGCATATCGCTCTTCAGATTCTTCATTAAAGTTATCGTAAAACTTGATTGGTGTTTTTTATTTTTTGCTTCCTCAAGAGAAACCTTATTGTTTGTGGGTGGGTTGGGCAAATAAAAAATATCAGTGTATATGAATTGGTGGGTCCTGAACCTTTTGAATCATGGGGAATATCTGTAAAAGTTGATTGGTGTTTATTTATTTTTTGCTTCCTCAAGAGAAACCTTATTGTTTGTGGGTGGGTTGGGCAAATAAAAAATATCAGTGTTATATGAATTGGTGGGTCCTGAACCTTTTGAATCATGGGGAATATCTTGTATTTTAATTACCTGAAGTGCTTTTTTCACATTGACGTAAATGTCTCATGTAAGTATCTGTTTCAAGCAATTTAAAAAAAAAAACAGAATCATGTTACAGATGGGTTTCTCATTTCTTTATATCTTATTTTATTGTATTCTTTTTCAGTGCATCCATCGAGATTTAGCAGCGAGGAATGTTTTGGTTACTGAAAATAATGTCATGAAAATAGCTGACTTTGGGTTAGCTAGAGACATCAACAATATAGATTATTATAAAAAGACTACTAATGTAAGTGAATGGCAGTCTTATCACTTGATCCACTCTCTTTTTCCAGTGCCTTTAAGTAAGGCAAATGCATTCTTAATGGACTTTTTGTACAGCAGCCTAACTTTTAATCAAAGAATGAAAATAATAGGCAAGTGTGTAAGGATTCCTAACTCCTTTTTACTAGGAAGGAAAGGTTATCTGCTTACATAGCCTGAAAGAGTACATGTTACATGATGCTTTATAAAGGATAAATTTTAGTGGCTCTGTTTTTTATGGTGTCTGTTAAAACTGCAGAACATTCTTTCACTCTCAGTTTGTGGGTCTGTTTGAGAGGACAGAATTGTGGTCTCATACATGCCTATGCCGCTTTCTGGAGCTCATTCAGTGGATGATTTTGTGGGACACATTCTTTATGTAATTGATGACATCTGATTTTAGTTCTATAAATATCTCTGATTAGCCATGTTTCAATTGAGCTTCCCGGAATCTTAGTGGTATTCTTGTCATTCTCCTGGTTAAAGTATGCAATGTCTTCATTTATATATCATATTCATACAGACTACGGGTGGGTTCTACCTATCTTTACTACCAGTTTGCAACGGGGCTGTGCGCGTGTGCTCACTTTGCTCATGCATGTGTGCACACTCTTCTGCGCATGCGCAGAAGCATTTTGATGACATTGGGGTCAGTGGGCGGAGCCTCCCGCTGGTTTTACTACCGGTTCTATAGAACCGGTGCGAACCGGGGGCAACCCACCACTGATACAGACAGTTTTCATACTGTCAACCTCTTTAGCTTTATGAATGTGATAAGCTATCCTTATCACAGACATCTATTTATATGAGGCTTTTTAAAAGGTATATTTGATTACAGCTACATTCATAAAGCTAAAGAGGTTGACAGTATGAAAACTGTCTGTATGAATAATATTAGAAAATTACTGTATTTTTCTAGACAAATCCCTGAATGGATACTCCGAATCATTACATTTTGCCTCTTGCTAAAATATAAATGCTTGTTTATTTTTACCATATTTGTATCTCATCTTTTTATATAATTGACCAAAAACAGAATTGACTGGGGAATCTATCCAGGGACTGTCTTCAACTCTAGAATGGTTGTGAGTGGTAATGAGTGCCATTGGGTAGATATGGAGCCATCTGGGATTTTTTTTAATTTCAATAATTAAGTAGAGAAGATTTTGCCATTGAAAAAGCATTTGCAAATGCCTGCAGGCTAGTTTACTTATTCCTGGATACATGGTCAAATAAACTCCTTATATGAATTCTTTGGAAAGTTTAGAATCTTATACAAGATAAAAGATAATGAGCTTTTATCTTCTCTTCTTTTCAACCCTGGATGTTTTAGTGTTGAATTCCAGGTCCATAGAAGTTTACAATCATAAGATGTGCAGTGTTCAGACCCAAAGCTGGCAAAAGTACTTTAGACCAGGGGTGGGCTTCAAAAATTTTAGCAAGAGGTTCTTTGCCCAGTTGCTGGTTGGGCATGGCCATGGTGGGCATGGCCTAGTCGGCCTCCTGCATCACAGCAGGGGGAGGCATTTTTGCCCTCCCCGGGCTCCGGACGCTTTCCTCAAGCCTCTGGGCGAAAATGGTCTCCCCAGGCTCCGGAGGCCCTCTGGAGGCCAGAAATGGGCTTGTTTCCAACCTTCCTGAACTTCCGGTAGGCCCATTTTTCGCCCTCCCCGAGCCTCCGTGTGCACCCTGCACTTACTTGCATCCAAAACGAGCCACGTGGGGATTCCTGGGATGGGGGGCAGCCAGGAGTGGGATTTGGGGGTTCTCTGAACTGCACAAAATCATAGCTAGAGGTTCTCCCAAACCCCTGGGAACCCCCAGCAGCCCACCCTGCTTTGGACCCAGCACAAGCACTTCCTCTGTACCTGTCTTCAGCTCCATAAAGGAGTTGTCCTGTTTCCTGATATCCTGTTATCACCTGCATAATACCTCCTGAGCTCAGAACAGTATATTCCTGAGCCCACCCCTCTATACATGGCAAACCCAGGAAAGATGCAGATATTTTGTAGCTGCTGTTAGGAAGCTCTATTGCAGGGGTCCCCAAATTTAAGACCTGTGGACCTCAACTCCCAGAATTCTCCAGCCAGTATACACCTCTGTTCAGAACTATGAATGAGTCACAAGATCTTGTAAAGAGAGACTTTATTTTCGTACGTTGTACATACAAAGTTACTTTGGCATCTCCCTTCTTTTTAGTGTAGTTTAAAAAATGAATCTTTGCCAACCTGTTGACATTCTCTGTGTGCCTCACTATTTGTTAATGCATTTGTTAATCTTTCCTTTCTTATTAAATGCCCAGGGTCGACTGCCTGTAAAGTGGATGGCACCAGAAGCGCTATTTGATAGAGTTTACACACATCAAAGTGATGTGTAAGTAATTTTATCTTATAACTTTCTTTTATCTTCTTTAAATGAATTTACAGCTTCCTCCAAAGAAATGGAATTACATATAATAAAACACATATTAAACCGATTTAATTATATCTCGTATAATTTTTCCTTTCAACCTTTGGACCATCATGGGAAATTACTTACTGTAGCGTAATTTGGACTTATTTATACTATACTTGAGGAAATTTAGTGAGGCTTTTTTCCTCTCTCTTTAATGAATAAGAAAAAGCCTTACCGCATTAGATTGAAAAGCCAAAGAAAACAATGAATATTTTCAATTTCATTCCTGATGTGTGAACTCTTTCTTTCAGCAATATTATTCTAAGTAGGTTTCTCCGGCCTGGTTTTTCTGAAACTCTTCATTGCTGTTTCATTCCCCTCCCCACTTTTTTTTTAAAAAATGGTCTTAGACATTGCTCTGTTACTAATCTGGTTAGCTTCAGAACACATGAATGATCTGACTTCTTCTCAGACGTACAGGTTTCTTCCACTAAATCACTTTTTAGAAATGCACACTGCCCAAGAATTGCTTTAAATTATTTGACTTGCAGTATATTCTCAACCAAGTAATTTGTGGCTTCCTCTATCTTGAATGGTGCAGTACAAGATGACATTTGTCACAAAATAATACTTTTATATATTTCTCTAAGGATTGTCAAAAGAACTATGGAATGAGGCAATAGCCTAAGTATCTGATCCACATAACTAATTATTCTTTTTCAGCATGGTCATATTTTTTCATATTATTAAGCTTATATCCTATCTTTCTGTTTATGGAAACTTTCATGACAGCTTAAAATAATAAAAAACAATTTTCTTTCCTGAATGAAGGAAAGGTGAACATATGGATATATTCCATAATATTGGAATTCTAGTAGAGACAGCCTTCTCCCATGCTCCAGACAGCTGAGCTTCTGGCAGTAGGAGAATCTTCAAAAATGGCTCTCCTATTCGTTGAAGTAACCTGGCAAATTCATAATAAAAATTGCAGATAATCAGATCCCCAAGCCATTTGGACTTTAAATTCACTATCAAATCTTAAATTCGATCTAAGAGATAATTGGCAGAATTTTTCAATGTAGACATATTGTTATATTTGTCCTTATACTTGATAACAATCTGTCTCCAGAATTTTTTACCAGTTTTTTACCAGACCTACCTAGTGGCGATAAAAGTGGCGAAATCTAACCATTTTCCCGCTCTTATCGCATCTGCAGAGAACTGCCCAGCCACTCTGTTTAGGGTGACCACTCCCTTCTTCGGGGGGGAGTGCGGGAAGACCCCTTACAGGGTCAAGCTGAGGATTTTGTGCAATTCCTGCATGATAAAGTCGCTCGGATTTGGGAAGGCTTGGACTCTGATTGGATGAGTCCAGGGGAGGAGACGAGGGTAGGTTTTGAGAATATTATCTGGGAGGAGTTTGATCCTGTGGCTCCCGAGGATGTGGACAGGGTTCTGGGTAAGATTAGTGCTGCTACGTGTTTATTGGATCTGTGTTAGTACTGCCCTCTCGGGAGGTTACACGAGGCTGGCTCCAGGGGATTATAAGTGCTTCTCTGAGTGAGGGTGCCTTTCCCGCCACCTTGAAAGAGGCGGTGGTGAGGCCCCTCCTCAAGAAGCCTTCCCTGGACCCGGCTGAATTAGCTAACTACCGTCCGGTCTCCAACCTTCGTTTTGTGGTGAAGGTTGTTGAGAGTGTGGTGGCACGACAGCTTCCCCGGCACCTGGATGAAGCTATCTATCTGGACCTGTACCAGTCGGGCTTCAGGCAGGGGTACACCACAGAAACGGCATTGGTTGCGTTGGTGGATGATCTCTGGAGGGCTCGGGACAGGGGTTGCTCCTCTGTCCTAGTCCTATTAGATCTCTCAGCGGCTTTTGATACCATCGACCATGTTAGGAATAGGGGGCACCGTTTTGCAGTGGTTCTTCTCGTTCCTCTCCGACCGCTTGCAGTTTGTGTTGGCAGGGGGGCAGAGGTCGACCTTGAGGCGCCTCACATGGGGAGTGCCGCAGGGGTCGGTCCTCTCACCCCTTCTGTTCAACATTTATGTGAAGCCGCTGGGTGAGATCATCCGTGGTTTTGGGGTGAGAGTCCATCAGTACGCTGATGACACTCAGCTGTACATCTCCACCCCAGACCACCCCAACAATGCCCTTGATGTGATGTTTCGCTGCCTGGACGCCGTGCGGGTCTGGATGGGGAGAAATAGGCTCAGACTCAACCCTTCCAAGACTGAGTGGTTGTGGCTTCTGGCGTCCCGATATAGTCAGCTGGTGCTATCACTGATTATTGGGGGTGAATCGCTGCCCCCACAAGGCTCACAATCTGGGTGTCCTCCTGGATGCACGGCTGTCTTTTGAAGAGCATATGACGGCCGTGGCCAGGGGGGCTTTTTATCAGGTTTGCCTGATTCGCCAGTTGCAGCCTTTCTGGACCGGAACCCCTTGCGCACAGTCACTCATGCCCTTGTCACCTCCCGGCTGGATTATTGTAAAGATCTTTACATGGGGTTCCCCTTGAAGAGCACTTGGAGGCTCCAACTGGTCCAGAATGCGGCCACACGGGTGGTTATGGGTACAACCCGTTGTGCCCACGTGACACCCCTCCTGCGCAAGCTGCACTGGCTCCCAGTGGTCTTCCGGGTGCGATTCAAGGTGTTGGTTACCACCTTTAAAGCGCTCCATGGCATAGGATCCGGGTACCTTCGAGACCGACTTCTGCCACCAGTAGCCTCCCACCGGCCAGTTCGCTCCCACAGAGAGGGTCTCCTCAGGGTGCCATCGTTCAAGTTATGTTGGCTGGCAACACCCAGGGGGAGAGCCTTCTCTGTGGGAGCCCCAGCCCTGTGGAATGAACTGCCCCCAGAAATGCGTAAGATCTCCGACCTCAGGGTATTTCGCTGTGCCCTTAAGACCCTGCTGTTCCTCCAGGCCGGGCTATCAATGTAATGATTTTAAATTGGATGTTTTAAATTTTGGAGGGTTTTAATATTGAGCCAAAATTATTTAATAATTTTAAATAATTTTAATTGTTGTTTGTCTTTGTGCTTTTAATAGGCTGTACACCGCCCTGAGTCCTTCGGGAGAAGGGCGGTATAGAAATAAAATAATAATAATAATAATAATAATAATAATAATAATAATTACTATTATTATTGTGTTCCAATTTATTTCTAAATTTAGTATGTTCAGGATATACTGCATGTTTGATGATACATGGAGATTTAATTATAGGATAAGATTCTGCACTGATCTGATTCACACACCCTTTATTCCCTTTTTAAATTTTTTCAAGGTGGTCATTTGGTGTCCTAATGTGGGAGATCTTCACTTTAGGTGGGTCACCATACCCAGGAATTCCGGTGGAAGAGCTTTTCAAATTGCTTAAAGAAGGACACAGAATGGACAAACCTGCCAATTGCACCAATGAACTGTAAGAGCTCTTTGGACATATACACATAGAATAGATTAACATGCATTTGTGATTTCTTTCAATTTTTGTCCTTTTATTCCCTAAATATATGTGACATCAACACAGTGTATGGCTTACCAGGACACAATTCACATTTTCTCTTGCAATTACTCAAATGGATTAAAAATTTAACTGACAATAAGTTGATAGGAAGTATTAATAACTATTTCATCATGACTATAAAAAGTCTTGGTTTATAATTCTCAAATGGGGATTGTCAATTGTGAAAAACAATTGAATATTTCTATCCAAACAGCATCCAGTTGTGCATTTCACCATTAATGCAAGTAGTCCTCAACTTATGACCAAAATTGAGCCCAAAATTTCTGTTAAGTGAGTTTTTCTCCTTTTTTCACACCCTTCTTGCCACACTTGTTAAGTGAATCATTGCAGTTGTTAGTAACATGTTTGTTAAGTGAACCTGGTTTCTCCATTGACTTTGCTTGTCAGAAGGTAGCCAAAGGGTACATCAAAGGTACATCACCCCGGGACACTGCAACTATCATAAATATGAGTCAGTTGCCAAGCTTCTGAATTTTGATTTTGTGACCATGGAGTTGTTGCAATGGTCATAAGTGTAAGTCACTTTTTTCAGTGATGATGTAACTTTTGAATTGTCACTAAGTGAATTGTTGTAAGTCAAGGATTTTACCTGTGAAGCATTGCTAAAAAATGAAGCCAAGGCCTTGCCATGATATCAGAGAGGTCACAAAGTGACTTTTTAATTGTGCCTATAGTGTGAATGTGTTGTTACGTGTATATATGTGAGAGTGTGTGTGTTGAACATGATGCGTTCAACTTCAGAGAAATTGGAGTCAAAATACTCTTTGATAGCAAAAAAAAAAAAAAAAAAAAGGATATCTGAATTATTTTAACTATATGCACAGGTAGTCCTCAAATTACAACAGTCCATTTAGTAACCGTTCAAAGTTACAATGGCACTGAAAAAAGTGACATAGGACCCTTTTTCACACTTTTTTGACCATTACAGCATCTCCATGGTCATGTGATCAAAATCTCCATGGTCATGTGATCAAAAAGACACTTGATGACTGACTCATGTTTATGATGCTTGCAGTGTTTGGGATCCCCTTTTGCGGCCTTTTGACAAACAGATATCAAATATACAATGCAATATCGGTTTTCAATTTAATTGTATAGAATGTGAAGGATGTGTGTTTGTGTTTTATTCTTATAATGTATGCTGAAGATGGCATTTAATTTCGTTGTACGAGGTGCAGTGACAATAAAGTAAAGTAAGTAAGTAAAGTCAACGGGGTACCCAGATTCACTTAACAACCTTGTTTCTAACTTAACAGCTGCAGTGATTCACTTAACAACTGTGGCAAGAAAGGTCATAAAATGGGGCAAAACTCACTTAACAAATGCCTTGCTTAGGAGCAGAAATTTTGGGCTCCATTATGGTCATAAATCAAGGATTACCTGTAATGGAATAGGTTTTACATTGCTTTCTTTTGTTGCTTTTTTGTCTGGCTCGACTTTTTTAATAGAGTGAAACTTCAATTTAATTCATTTGGAGGAAGGCTGTCCTTTATTTCCAAGGGCCTCTTAAATTTGAAAACACCACCTGTAGTGATACCATTTGTGCTATTTTAAGTCATTTGTAGAAAATGTATCTTTACAGAAATGAGATAAAACATCTAATACAATGGGAGCATTATCTGTTGCATCTGAAGTCCATTGCATTAACATCCACTAAATTGAAATTGCCCTGTATACGAAAGCAAAGTATTTTTAGGAAGGAAAAAACAATAACCAGAAATCATTAGCTAGCTTTAATTAACAAGAATTTATTTTGTTTAAATAATTGTTCAGGACCAGAAAAGCATTTGAAAAGCATTTAAAGCTTTTACCTAACTCACATGGTTATACCCCCCTCAAATTGCTTTCCTTGAACTTCTGCAGTCCTAGCATATGGTTTGCAGATTTCTCATATAATCAGCAATAAGCTTTCTATCTTCTACTTATGTATGGAATTATAGTACAATCTGGACAGATTTCCAGACAATTTGAATAGCCTTTTCTTTTTAGTGCAGCATTAGGATTACCTCCAACTGAATGCCACTAATGGGATATTCCATGCGCATTTAATTTACCTTAATTTATCTAGAGGGTGGAAATAATGATCACACATGGGGAGCAGAGAACAAAGTTAGGTGATTTACTGTTCCATTCCTCCCTGTGCATAATTCAGGGATTGGAATTGATGGGGACAGTATTGATAACCTCACTTCTTTTTATACTTTCTTTTTTTAGAATATAAGCATTAAACAGTACAGTATAAGTAAGGCAGACTTGTTCAGCAAGGCTCACCTCTTCTAAGTCTGAAGATGTTTAAGCATAATATTTATTTTAGGCAAAGGAAGATTTTGACAGCCAGGGAGGGATCCAATTCCCAATAGCTCCAGCTTCTGTAGCCAAGCACCAGATATAAAGGAACTTGTAATTCAACAATTGTAGAACCATCTTTTTTTTTCTATAGAAATCATTGCTCTAAAGTCTAATAATGACACCAGTAAGGACAAATACAGAGAGCTAATGAGAACCAGTATAACTTACCTGGAGCTGAGCACAAATGAGTTTTCTCCATCAATTCTCCATCCCATCAAATTTGTGATCAAGGAGGTTAGGGGGATACATTTTTAAAATTCTGCAATGGGACAGGATGCCCTCATAGTGTTAAATTGAGTACCACAAGAAAGAATTTCCTGCTGTTCTTTTACCTTGCTTTTAATGTAAGTAGAAAAAAATCATGGTGTTGAATTACAAAAACATCACATTCACCCTTAAGAGTGGTCCACAATCTCTTTTCTGTTGATAGAATTTCTAATTGCAAATTCAACTAATTGCATAAAAATGGTATTTAAACATAATGAATTATTTTGCCTAGTAATAAATTCATCTCCAATCCTCTCCAACCACAGGCACATTTTCTTAAAGAGCAAAATACTTAAAGACATGTAAGATGTGAATACATACTGACTTCTTGCTGAACAGCAGTGAGATATTATGAATATGCCATAGAGACATTAATTAACATAATATAATGCTGGTTTCCACAGCTACATGATGATGAGAGATTGTTGGCATGCAGTGCCTTCACAGAGACCTACTTTTAAACAGCTTGTGGAAGATTTAGATCGTATCCTCACACTTACAACTAATGAGGTGAGTAAAACAATTTATCCTTAAAAATTAAGTAAAGAACGGCAATAAGACTTGTTGAGGTTATCATATAATAGTTCACCGGCAACCAACATATTACAGAAAATCTAAATGCTGGATTTTCTTTATGGCACATTTGGACTCATGCGACAAAACAAAATCTAAGCACAGGTAATTCCTTTGGGATCTAGTAGAACAGAGGTGGGAACCATGGCCTTTTATGACTTGTGGACTTCAACTCCCAGAATTCCTGAGCTAGCAGTCATAAAAGGGCCATGGTTCCCCAACTCTGTAGTAAAGTAACCTACAAGGTGTAAGGTAAGATAATTGTCCAAGAAATGTATTTGGGGATGGGATAATAGACATTTAAAGGCTTATTCTTCTCAGGTTTACTACAAATGGGAAACTGGAGGGTGGAATAAATGGCAGACAGAATGGATTTATTTAAATTGTGAATACATTCTCTTTCAAAGTCCCAATAAAATTAGTTGAACTGTCTATTATATCACTCACATAATGCATCTATGATGAGCTAAAGGAACACTTTTATCTTGTTCTGTGTTTTTTTAAGCTTTGCAGAGTCAAATAGATAGATGTGTTGAAGAATCCTTTTCTAATGATAATGATAATAATACTTGACTCTAGATGGTTATGCTGCAATAATTTGGGTCTTCTAACTTTAGAATACCATCAACATTGACTGATGTGTATAATCTAGAAATCATGTCAATGTGTATTTTCTAATCTTAGCCCTAACCCTAAAACTCTTTCCCAGACATGTATGTTTGTATCAGGGGTGAAATGCTCCCGGTTCGGATCGGCTCGGGAGAGTAGGTAGCGATGGCGGTGGGCAGTTCGGATAACCGGTAGCAAAAAATCCTTGCCTTCGCCCCCCATGCCCAGCTGAGTCGGGCGATCATCAGAGGCCTTTTTTTCTTTTAAATGGCTCTGACGATCCAAGCTCTGACGATCCCAGCTGAGTTGCCTGCCAATCAGGCAACTCAGCTTGGATCATCAGAGCCTTTTGAAAACATTTTTTACATGGTTTTACATGTAAAAAATGGTTTTAAAAGTAAAAAAAAAAATGGCCACGCCCACCCAGTCACATTACCCCCCCCCCAGTAAGCCACCCCCACAGAAACGGTAGTAACACATTTTAGATTTCACCACTGGTATGTATGTATATATGCACACACACGCACACACACACACAAATAATTTAAAATCAAAGCTAATCTTCTTAGTTCTGCTCTACTTCTTTGGTTTTGCCAACACAAGATGATACACTACAATTTTAGTATTTGTACATAATATACATAGGAGTCTCAATATTGTACTAGAATTTTAACTGGGGAAAAATAGGGAGAGATATGTTATGGCTAAGATATACAAGTTCTGAAAATTACATTTAATTTGAAATACGCTTTTTCCAAAGAGTTTTTGGAAGCTATTTGGAAGTAGTATACATTTGGATAATAACAAGGAAAAGATATTCTGGAATGTGACAGTAAAAATTATGCGAGCCTTTTGCCAATGGCTACCCCAAGTGTTGAAACTGAGTAAGAGTTATTGCATAAATTGGTTCTAGCCCTGTATTGACCGCATAAATCTGTTGAATCTGCTGAAATCACATGCATGCAATCTTCTTCTAATAGCTTCCTCCTTCTATTTGTGCCAAAAGTGTCCTGCTCCATCTTATTTCTCAAAGCCGTCATTCCAATTCATATGAGAAAATTATTACTTCTTTGAAGTCAATGAGAGCTTTGCCATTGATGGCAGAGGCGCCACAGTTTAACCCTACATGTTCTGATGAGATTCATCTTGTCTCTGGATAACATAGAGATAACAGACACCAGACATGAAAAAAATGCTTATGAAATACGGAAGTAATGTTAAGTCAAAAGTTCACTGCAATTTCTTTTGAGCTATGTGTTTTGCTCTTATTTATTTTACAGTGAATTTATCATTACTATCTTAACTATTTTGACTTTTTAAATGGTGGACAGAAAAAGTGTTTGAAAACCTAGCTTTTTACAATTGGTTTTTCTCATCTCGGAACCAAAATATGGTTTAGCAAATGAAACGATTGCATTTAAATGAAAACAGCTGTTCTGCAGAAGTTGAAAGAGAGAAGAGGCAATTCAAGGAGAAAAATAACTTTATTCTCCTGCCAGAACTGTTATTTCTAGAAATGTTTTAATCTAGCTTTCAATTTGGTTGATCCAATGGCTGATTTTGCTTTCGCAGAAATGCAGTGGGCACTGTTCATCAATAGATGTTCCTTTGCATCCATTTTTTAAATATATATAAATGGCTTTTTTCAAGGAACACTCTCAATTCCTTGCGTGGTTTTGGCTGATTTCACTGATGCCTGCTTAAAAGAATGGCTCAGTTGATTGGGTCCCACAATTATTCATGTAGCAAAAACAAAACACATAAAAAAGTACATTGTACTGCAGCTCATTTACCCTCACTGAAATGTCAAGGTATTATAAAACAGTCAGTTTAGTTGAATGAAATGATCTTTCTTTCTGCAAATCATTTCCATGTGTTGGACAAAAATAGTTCTCTGTAGGGTGAAAATTTGTTGTTGTTTTTTTTATCATGGCAAAAAGTTTTGTTTGATGTGGTTAGTGTATGTGTTTCAAATAGTGTGGTTGAAGTTGATGTTGGAACATATACAGTACATATGCCTCACAAGTCCTTTTGCTGTTGTTTTGGTTTTCCTTTTTCATATCTCCCTGCAAATACTTGGCTTTATGAGAAGTTGCTATTTCATTTTTATCCCATTCTTCCAATGGTGACTGAGAGCAGAGCAAAAGTGCTTTTCTCTTACCTCCACACTATTCCTGTTTATTTATGAAGGCATTTAATAAAAGCTTATTAAGACCAAAGCCCACACAAACAATTCTCTGTTACATTTTTTTTTAAATCAACATAAAATTAAAACCATCTAGTATAGCATCTATGTAAGAACAGCTTAAAAAGCTATTTAAACTCACTTAAAGTTAACCAGCATGGCAGTTGACAGCACATTTTGTAGGATGAAATTCTGCAAAGAAAGATCTCTGAAAATACCCCTTCTTTTCTTCTTCCCAAATAATTTGAACTTAATGGTGAATACTTTTGCAAAGCTCATGTAGCCGTCTTTTGGGCTTAAGCAGCTTTGTGTAGGTTTAGGTACCAGTCTAAGCCTTGAGATAATAAGCAGCTCAAGATCATCCAGTAATTTTCATAAAGGGGATGTACATTGTAAAGAAGAGATGCTTGTGACCAGTAACTCATATGAAAGGTTTCTACTTGTTTGTTTTTACTTTGTGTGTGTCTATTAAACCACATGAAGCATGGTACCATCTTAAGGCAATACAAATTGACTTGCTTGTTTATTTTTCATTTCAGGAATACCTAGACCTTAGTGGACCACTGGAACAATATTCCCCTAGCTATCCAGATACCAGGAGTTCCTGTTCTTCAGGGGACGATTCTGTTTTTTCTTCCGATCCCATGTCTTATGAACCTTGCCTCCCTAAGTACCAACATATAAATGGAAGTGTCAAAACATGAAAAGAACTTCTGCCGTTCCACAAAGGAATGAAACCAGAGCATCTATCTACCACGTGAAAAAGAGTCTCTTGCTTTAAACACACAAGATTTTCTTGTACATAAGAAATATAAGGACCAAAGAAAAACCAAAATTGGGAAAAAGTGGCCCAATTATTGGGGGAAAAAGCAGTAGCTTGGAATATCACCCAATATTATGAAGAGAAGAATTTTCATGGGTCATTTGTGGACACCCATTTTAGCAAGTTAGCTCTTTGGCCCCAAAGCCAAAACAGCCTTTCTAAAGTCAATGGACAAGTTGGACTTGAGGCAAACTTCAGACCAGCCTTCTTTGTTTATTTTGTAATATTTTGAGAAAATATATGTTGACACACACTTACAGAGCACAAATGCAATATATAAGTGCTGGATGTATGTAAATATAATCAAATATGTACAAATATATATTATATATTTACAATGAACTATTTTTTTGTATTGATTTAAAAATGCATCTCCCACTTCCAGGAAATTAATCTTTCTTTCTTTTTTTTTAAAAAAAGAAACAGCTATTTGTAACTACTTCTCTTGCATAAGACTTTTCTTTCCAATCCTCCTCCTCCTCCTCCTCCTCCTCCTCCTCCTCCCCCCCCCTCCTCCTCCTCCTCCTCCCCTCCTCCCCCCCCTCCCCCTCCCTCCCTCCCTCCCTTCCCTTTTTCCTTCAAATCCAAAGGTGAAAAATATTTTACTTTCAGGGAAAATGGTATATCATTAATTTATTAATTAATTGGTATTGTACAAAACAATTAATCTTTTATAGGGTTGTGTTCTATTGTAATTTAAATGGCATTTCTATGCAGACAGCACAAAGAACTAGTAGATATATTGCTCAAAAGTTACTAGTTGTCAATTTTTTTAAAGAGAGAAATATTTACAGTATATAACTAATTCTGGAAATTAAAGTTCTGATTAACTTGGGTTTCAAATGTTGAATGAGAGGTTGTTGCTTTAACTAAAACCAAAACTCTCAAAAATAAAAATGTGTCCTTTAGCAACAATGTATCCTTTTCTTATTCTCTTCAGTGCTTGCATGGTTACACTTCAAGACTGTGACGCCTATACATCATAACTCTTAAAGAACAAGGCAGAAACATAGCCATTTAGAAAAGCAATCTTCTCAAGTTTTCCCAATTTATATCTAGGAAATTGTTTAATGGGATGAACACAAGCAGGCACTGAACAAATTTTAGACACACTTAAAATAAGAGTGTATTCTAACTTGTCTAAAATGTGCTACAATTTTAAAGTGTCCTCAGTCACGCATTTGACTAGAAACTACTGGTAGTCCTCAACTTACAACCACAGTTGAGCCCCAAATTTCTGTTGTTAAGTGAGACATTTGTTAAGTAAGTTTTGCCCCATTTTATGACTTTTCTTGCCATTATTGTTAAGCGAATCACTGCAGTTGTTAAGTTAGTAACACAATGAATCTGGTGGTGACTTTGCTTGTCAGGTTGCAAAAGGTGATCATGTGGTCTCAGGACACTGCAACCATCATAAATATGAGTCAGTTGCCAAGCAACAGAATTTTGATCACCATGGGGATCGGCAACGGTCATAAGTGTGAAAAATTGTCATCAGTCCCTTTTTCTGTGCTCTTGTAACTTCAAATGGTCACTAAATGACTGTTGTAAATTGAGGACTACCTGTACTAAATATCTATCATTGCTTCCTGGCTGTTTTGATGTAGCACTGTTTTTTTAAAAATATCTTCATATTACAGTAACAAAATCGAGAAAGTTGCAAGTGACAATTTCGGAAGTTCATTGGAATTTCTTTCTGGAGGGTTACTTTATGTCTATTTATTACAAATCATTACAAATAATTCCACTTATCCAGTCTTAAACATTGGTGTCTGGCCAGAAATATTAGATTCCTCTAAAAATGTTTTTCAGAACATGTTTTCCCACTTGAGACAACTTTAGATTGGTGTAATCATTGCAATATGAATGCAGTTCAAACTGACTTATTTAACAAGGGAAAGAGAGGATATATATAACAAGGTTTTTTCTTTTTGTATTAACAATTAGAAGTTTTCCACAGGCATTAATGTTAACATTGCAAAATAAATTTCATTCACCTATGGTTTTTTTTTTAAAAAATTGTATTTTAAACAGTGATTTCAAAGTTTCTACATAATAGATTATTTTATGGGATGCACAAATAAACTCCAAACTATGTTAGATTGCATCAGCCAGTCCATTTATGGTAGCTGGTGGATATCTGCATTGGGCACCACAATCTTACCTTATATTTCAAAGTTCTCCAATTGCAATACATGTGGTTGGTGCTTTCTAATCAAACTGTGCCAATACAAGTAACCCTGCAGTGTCTGCAGAATGAACATTATATATTTTTATGATTTGGTTGAGATTCATAGAACATCGTGTTTGTCTGATATTTCTCCACCTCCAGATTCTTCCATAACACAAATATATATCAAAATCTTTCCCCAAGATATCTACCATTAGAATATTTTTTATGTTTGGATATGTTTTCATTATTGTATTAGGAAACAAACAACAAGCAGAAAATTAAGCAAGCTAGGTAGAATTCACTAGTGGTCAGTGGTGGGTTGCCCCTGGTTCAGACCGGTTCACAAGAACTGGTAGTAAAACTGGTGGGAGGCCCCGCCCACACCCTGGATGTTGTCATCGGCATTCTGCACATGCGCAGAAACTTCTGCGATCGTGTTGCAAACCGGTAGTAAAGGTAAGTAGGACCCACCCCTGATTTTATATATATATATATATATAATATATATATATATAGAGAGAGAGAGAGAGAGAGAGAGAGAGAGAGAGAGAGAGAGAGAGAGAGAGAGGGGGGGGAGGGGAGGGAGGGAGGAGGGAGAGAGAGAGAGAGAGAGAGAGATTATCATTAAGAAATGATAGTTATGAGTAAGGTGATTTAATGTCCCCATTCTTTAGTGGCTTGCTACATGGTGGCTAAATTTGACATTCTTGTAAGTTTCTATGTCTTGTGCAAAATATTTACTAACTACCATAACAATCTTAAAGTTCCACTACACATACAATTTCAATTATTTATTTTTTTTTGAGATTACTTCACAGAAATGTATGCTTTATAAAGAAAATTTAGTGAAAGGGGAATTTTCCCAGAATAGTGTACTCTCTGATTAATCTATTTACGGTAAATTGGCTATGATATTTTGTTAGCCATAGTAACTGGGTAATTGATTAGAATGTTAAAACCTGGACACATTAGGAAGAGTGCTGGCTGTTGGTGACCTTTGCATAAGAAGGAAATGAATTGGTTATGGAAATTAATGTAATGAAAATGTTAATGATAAGGTATGGAATTGGCAAAAACCAAGCTTTATTTGGCATACTGTATCTAAATAATACAATGCCGTCTTAAGTGCTATATGTGATGTGATATTTTATACCATGTTACTCCAGAAATAACTATTATTATTTTATATTGATGGACTCATGAAAGAGCTGCAAGGGTTTTTCACAGATACCCCTACTTTTGGAGAGTGCAGTGGCATTAAAAGAAAAAGAGAAATCTTACAGAAAGACTTTAAGCTGCCAAGAATCACTTTTACATTTTGGAGAAGTCAGTGACCGAGATGGACTATTTTGTCTAGACATTTATTTCTGGCATAGTTTAATATTTTAGATCTATATTCAGTAGAATATAGTACTCCTTCCACAGACTCTGTTGCCACAGAGATGTATAAACTGGAAAGTAAATATTACATTTGGGAATGTAAGCTCAATGCCAGCCCGTGAGATGACCACACGGGTGTTGGTGGGTGTTGGCGTAAATATACTTAATGCTGTCAGATGATCCAGCATTATCTTGTCCTGAGAACAGATTTGATTGAGAGATGTACCCTTAAAGCACAACTTGTCCAGGTAGCTACCCCCGCCTGCCACACACAAAAAATTAATTTATAACTAGGATCATTTATACATAACCACAGTTAACAAGGAAAAAGGAATGGTGAGAACACTCAGCACTATTTCTGAGTTTAGAACAGAGGGGGAGAAAAGAAAAGAAAAACAATGGAACAAAGAACAATGATTGATACAATTCAACTGTTTTTCTTCTTTCTAAAGAGTTTTCTGATATTGGTAATAAAACAGTCATCTCAGGAGTTACATCCTTGAATCACTGTGGCTGAATAGTCTATTTCCAGTATTGATATGGGTGAAGACTGTGTGGTGCAGTGGTTATGGTACTGGATGGGGAGATTGCTCCAATAGGGATGACTTTAGACCTGCCCCCCTCTCTCTCCCACTCCCTCCCCCCTCTCCTCCCTCTCTCTGCCCAACCTATCTTACAAAACATTTGAGGGAGATTGGTTGAAAGACCAGTCTAGTGGTTAAGGCACCGGGCTATAAAGCAAGAGACCATGAGTTCAAGCCCCACTTTAGCCATGAAAGCCAGCTGAGTGATGGGCCAGACATTCTCTCTCCTACTTCACAAGATTGCCATGGGGACAATAAAAAAAAGGTACCAATATGTTGGATATGTTTGTAAAAATAATAAAGCCAGGATATAAATAAATAATAAGTTGGCCACTTTGACATGTTAGAGAGAAGCCACTATAAATTTAACAAATATTAAGTGGCCAAAAAAGCCCCCACCACTCCTTTCCTATTTTTAAAAATTGCTTAATTGGCTGAGGTATATTCAGTGGTGTATACAATTGATTGTACAATATTAACTCTTTACTGTGTTTAATTACAGATAAACTGTCTGGACTGACAATGTTTACCATTAGCTTTGATAGCAACACTTCAGAAAGTGACATCCTTGAAAATAGAGATAATAGAATATGTATCTTGTTTGTTTGCACAACTTATTTCTCTACTCAGTGACAGGCCAACTCCTTCACAAAATTGATGTCCAAATTCACCTCCGCCTACTTAAAAAACACTGAATGTCTCCAAAGCAGGATTTGGCCAGATCTGCTACATACCTGGCATAAATGTGCTGTAACTGAGAAAAAAGTAGGAGAGGGTAGTTGATGGTTGGTTTGATAACTTTTAAATGTAGAGCCCTTAAAAAGCTATATAAAGCAATGGAGAAATTTAATATGACTGAATTATTACTTTTACTGCGGTTCTTGGATAAAAATGAAGAAAGAAGAGAAGGTGGTGATAATGCAAATAGTGAAGTGCAAAAGGAAGAGTAATTTATTTTCTTTAAAGGGACTTTGGGATATTCTTATAAGTTTGAACTTGTTTCAGTAATGGCCCAAGGTTCAGAAATGTCTTACGCAAAAAATAATCTTTCTTCCCCATGATGGTTTGAAAGCATTGAAAATGTAGTTTTCATTTTTTTAAAAAAATGTATTCCAGAACTGGTCCCTGAGGAAAGTATATTTCTCTGGCTCATTATGGAGCTGACACTAGCTTTTCCCTTTCCTTTCCTTTCCTTTCCTTTCCTTTCCTTTCCTTTCCTTTCCTTTCCTTTCCTTTCCTTTCCTTTCCTTCCCTTTCCTTCCCTTTCCTTTCCTTTCCTTTCCTTCCCTTCCCTTTCCTTTCCTTTCCTTTCCTTTCCTTTCCTTCCCTTCCCTTCCCTTCCCTTCCCTTTTTCTTTTCTTTTCTTTTCTTTT